CTGCAAGCGGTAGATTCATCACTGCTGAAAACGCCATCTTGTTTTACAGAAATTTGAAGAGAAGGTATCTCGTTAGAAGTAGCATGCACCTGTGTTAAATGACTATATCCACCTTGCAGTGTCTTTTGATGCAACTTTCAAATGGTTCGGGAAACCAGTTTGCTCAAATGTGATTGTCCTGCAGCAGTGCTTCCACCTTGGCCTGGGGTCAGCGCACGTGTTTCTTGACCGAACCCAGAATTCGTTTCTCTTCACCATTTCACCACCAGTGAACAGTGGAAAAAAGAAACTCCGAACTTTGCAAAGGCTGGGAGGGAAAAAACAATACTGGTTCGATCATGTTTGAAATTTGTGATCAAAGATTATATCAAGACAGTATGTAAAATATAAAAACACAATTTTCCCGGCAAGAGGCCCCAAACAGTGTGGAGTGAGGATTTTAAAGGGAAAGGTGGAAAGGACCCAGTGGGGGCAAGCTAGCAGGAAAAGAGCGGCCCTAGTAGTGAAAGCATGGTGTTCAGTCAAGGTGGTATCTGGAAGAAGGGGTACCAGGTAAGATTCTGCAAGGTCCCTTTGGGAAAACCTCTGTAGAAGATCGTGCGCAAGATCTCCTTGAGAGGTTCTCTGAAGAAACTGCTGTGCAAGATCCCTGTGTAAGCTATCTGTAAAAGGTGTCTATAGGAGATCTCCACAAAAGATCTTTGTAAGGACCTCAAAGTAAGATCTATGTTCTAGCTATGTAAAAAATATCTCCGAACAATACCTCTGCTGTCTGCACCAGGTCTCCGTACAAGATCTCTAAAAGAGTCTCCTGGCAAGATGTCTGTACAAGATCCCTATAAAAGCTCTGTTGGCAAGATCTTTGTAAGAGACCGCTTGGCAAGATCTTGCCAACAGAGTTCTAGAAGAGGTCTCTTTGCAAGACCTCTGGACAAGATCTCGACAAGAGATCTCTTGGCAAGATCTCTGTATGAGATCTATGAACAAGGTCTGTATAAAAGCTCTCTTGGCAAGATTTATGTAAGAGACCTTTTAGCCAGATCTCTGCAAGAGATCTCTACGCAATGTGTCTGAACAGGATCTCCAGAAGCGGTGGCCTGGCAAGATCTGTGTACAACTCTATAAGAGGTCTCTTGGCAAGACTCTTGAAGAGATCTCTGTACAAGATCTCTATAAGAGCTCTCTGTACAAGATCTCTGCGCAAGCTCTCTAGAAGAGACCTCCGTGTCAAGATCTCTGCACAAGATCTCCTTCCACAACGAGAGCGATCTGACAGGCCCAAAGCGACGAGAGGGTTGCACGGGCGATCTCACAAGAGCCATCTCGTGTAGAAATTTACAAGGAAAATGGCCGAGGACACCTCCGTGGCCAGCGTTTTGTGCGAGCCTGCGCAGTCGAAATGCACATGGACATTTCACAAGAGCCATTTTGTGTGGAAATTTTGAAATTTACAGGGAAAATGCCAAACGCTTCCGATACCACCTCGATTGAACACCGGGCCTTAACACCTACCGTGAGAACCCCTCAGTGTGGACACACTGCTTGGGGAACAATTTTGATCATACTTGAATCATCTTTCTCCGCTGCATCAAACTTTGCGTTTGTCTGAATCGAAGGTACCCGTTGAATTTGACGCTTGATCATCATATTCCCTATTCTTTGACGGTCATATCCAGGGGCTCAATCCCCCACGTTCAGATGGTTGGTTATAATCCATATGGTTGGTTATTTATACATATAAATATATATATATGTATATATATATATGTATATATATATATGTATATACCTGAGAAGGGGTGGAACGAAAGCCAGCGCTTGCTTTTTGACTCGCGCGGGGGCGCGTGAAACTCCACCTCATCCATATGGCATGGCTCAAACATGAAGCGCCCCAACATCAACAATTGCTATCGGGTCATAATTTTCCAATGATTAAATGGACCTTTTTAGGGTAAACTCCACGATTTTGTAACTTCTATATCCAAATATGTTTCCTACAATGTACTGCGGCATTGTGAAAAGTTCTATCTTAAGTTCCGTAAATCCGCCTTTGGTTGCTCATTTATCTTAAAACAGCGCAAGTTTGCTCCCACCTATTGTAGATAAATAATACCCGTTTTTTTGTGAACAGTGGTCATGTGACCTCTCAAAGTCTAAATTGTTTTCTCCCCAGAATCGTGGTCCATGCTTCTCCGCGAAGTTCCGCAACATTTTGGCCGTACGGTGAGAAATCAAATATAGCTCTACTCGCAAAATGGGCAGTGCAAACCCAAGACAATATTATAACATACGTAAGAAAGGGTATAAGAACGAATGAAAATCGAGGAAAACAATGCAAAACCCACGGGAAATATAGAACAGTGGCGAACATGCAGTCCAAATCAAAAGTATATATATTTAGGCCATTTACAGACCTGGGTACCCCCCCCCACCCCCAAGGGTCTGGAAAATAGGTATTTTACAGGAAATGTCGTGGAATAGCATCATCCCTGACATCGATAGAGATAATTGTTTGGCATCCCGGAAAATCTTCTCAGCTATCCCACTCGCCAAACATCCCTTTTAAAAGGCACACATACTATCACGGACGTACAGATGCATATCATTCCCGTCATTGCCATTAGAAGATTCAAATTCTTTCTCGATGTTTTAGTACAAGATTCACTTTTAGTTCCGTTTCAGCCTTCTCAGTACGGCCTCTTACAATGATATTACAGCATTTGTCTCCTAACCTAGGTGGCTCCTGGGCGCAATCTTCATTCCAATGCTTTGTGACAATAACCAGAGGCCTGGAGCCTATGCATCACTTGACAGTCGACTCAGTTCTAAACCGGAAAGACTATTCCTTCCGTTTACCAGTAGATCGTTTTTGTAGTTCTTATCACAAAACTACCAGAATCAGGGAGGCACCAAAAAACGTCAAACAGCTTTAAGCATTATAAATACTCTAATCTGCAGATTGTATTATTTTTCTTACTCTGTGAACGGACTCACACTTTTCTAACTTCACACAGATTACCATGAAACCAATTTTCCCATGCAACTCCTGAATCTTACAACTCATACATCTTTTTTCCTATACCATCCGCATCTTGCTCCAAGGTTTCATGGCAATGTCTTGTACGCGAGTCAGCCACTATTTCCTATCACCAAACTACATTGCTCATCATCTAAAATTATCTACAGAAACCAAATCGGATTTCCTGCTCAACGTTTCCGCTCGTTAACATTGTCTTGGTTTTCACTATATTTTGAAAGCATTTTTAGATATAACATTTTCCTAGGTTTTCACTGTATTTTTCTAACATGTTACATGCCTCCTAGCATGTTCACGCGTGTCCTCCATGTTGTACTGTTTCAGTGTGGGTGCCCCGCGGGGCCGCTAAGTGATTTCTGCCGCTTGCCCCGCTTGCCCCGCTTGCCCCGCTTGCCCCGCTTGCCCCGCTTGCCCCGCTTGCTCCGCTTCTAGGGAAAATAAGTGAATCTTCCTCCTTGCCCCGCTTGCCCTGCTTGCCCCGCTTGCCCTACTTGCAAACCGAGGGAAGATCGGTGGTTCTTCCCGCTTGCCCCGCTTGCCCCGCTTGCCCCGCTTGCCCCGCTTGCCCCGCTTGCCCCGCTTGCCCTGCTTGCTTTGGTTTCACCACACAGCAGTATGAAAAAGGAATAGAGGTGGTAACGTGAATGGAATGTTTGGGCGAGTGGGGCGTGTGGGGCGAGTGGGGCGAGTGGGGCGAGTGGGGCGAGTGGGGCGAGTGGGGCGAGTGGGGCGAGTGGGGCGAGTGGGGCGAGTGGGGCGAGTGAGGCGAGTGGGGCGAGTGGAGCGAGGGGGGCGAGTGGGGCGAGTGGGGCGAGTGGGGCGAGTGGAGCGGCCGACGGGGATTAAGTGGCGACTCCAAACACCGTTGCAACAATACCAGATTGGATTCTGCAAGTTCCCTTTGTAGAAGACGTGTGCAAGATCTCCTTGACAGGTTCTTTCTAGGCGCTGCTGTGCAAGAACCTTTTGTACAAGGTCTGTATGAGACCAAACAAAGATCGACTATGTTTAAACATGTCCTAGAAAAATTGCGTTGAACATTACATGACACCAATGTGACATTAAGATATTAAGCATCAAGCATCACCGGAAGCAACCTCCAGCCATTCCGGGAATGCGCACCGACGCGCAGTGCACGTGCCCCGCGGGACCACAGACCTGATGGTCACAGTGAGGAGTGGACTATTGTGCCATCTCTATTTGATTGCGTACCAACATCACGCATGCTGGCATCAGCGTCTGCTGAATCCCTAAGGTAGAAGCCATTGTCCTGGTGCCACTTAGCATCGGCACCTGCAGACGCAGGAGTCAGCGACATGGTCTGGACAGGACTCCCGTGAGTCTTCTTTCCCCCATGGAGCAGACAGATTATGTCGCAGTCGGAAAGGATGGTAGAAAACAGAAATGGTAGAAAACAGAATAAACAGGTGCAAGTTTCAATTCTTTCTTGGACTTGATCAGGAACAAATAAAACATGTGTCTTGCTTCAACATCTCGAGCGGCTATGTTCAGCGAACAATGGCTTCACATGCGCCGCACAAACTATTTTGGAGCCGCGGTGTTGGCTGTCTGCTTTGCCTCAAAAAGAGTAGATTGGGCCTTTGTCAATCTCATGCCACCAGCGCACACGATTGAACACTAGAAGGCCAAGCACACTGTTTTGAATGTGGCTTTGGACACGATGATGAACCACTATGTAAGATCTTCACACCACAATGTCTTGTCATGAAAATGGGTGGGTTGATTGAAATTGACGCACAATATGTTGCAGCCACCATACCGTCTTGATTGAAAGCATTCACCTCGTAGGGTCAGGAACACGCTCGGGGAATCGCACCATTATTGACGCGTATCTTTGGAAACAAGACTTATATACAACAAGTGCTTTGGAGCACATTGTCACTCTTTTTTTGGGCTGACAGTTTAGACATGGGACCGTGCAAGACCTCGTATTTCTGGAATCCTACTTGAAATCATTGGCACTCAGTTGAAGCTTGGCAATCATGTCTTGAGCTTCCGAATTAGTCAAAAGGCCCTCCCAGGCACATGTCTGGTAGTACAGGACAGCGTGGCCACCTGGCGGGCCTCGTGGCTCGCTCTTTAGCGTGGCCTCCTTGCTCTTGGCGCTTTTCTTGTCCTTAAGTTTGGGCGCCTGTTCTTCCACTTCCTTCTTGTCAACCTCTTGCAAGATGCCAACTTTCAAGAGGTCTTTGACTGCTGCCAAGACGTACTTTGCTGGTTTTTCCTCTTTCTCCTTCTGAAAGTGGTACTTCAGAACAGAGCGAATGTGCGCAGTGGAGGTTGGACCAGCACATCGAGGATTGGACAGAATGACTCGCTGCAATTTCATCTTGGCATCCAAATCTGCAAGTCCTGGGGGCTTGACATCTGGCACTGCTTTGGGGCCTACCAAGGCTTGGACTTGCTTGGAGCGATAGAAGGCAAACCACAAGCACATTTGGCGACGCCAGATATGCAAGGCATGTCCCAAATCGAAGATGGTCATCTCAACGGCAAACTCATCTATGATCCTATCAAGGGCCAACGCGCTCGGGCCTCAGAATACTGCCTGCAACGCATGGCTGCATTAGCGTACCGAGCCACATCTGTGTCAGCATAGCGTAGCTTCTGTTAGATTGGTTCCTCTACATTCTCGTGATTCTCGTGATTCTCGTGAAAGAAGTCGGAGATTCCCTGCAAAGCCTTCCTGAGCACGGGCAAGGCGAACTTGTCAAAATAGTGGTCTTTGTCCTGGTTGCTTGCCACGCGCCCCATCCAACCAAAGAAGTCAATCAGGAACTCTTTGCTGGACTGGCTCTGCTGATCAGGGTCACTTGTCACTGGCCTTGTTTGCCACGTCGCATGGATTCTCTTGCAAAACATGCTTGCAGTCGGTTGGAGCACATACTCACAAAGCGACACCTGTCCATACACTTGGTGAACGAAGGTGTAATGAGTCAGCGCCGTGGCACCATCTCCAGTCACTGTCTTGTCATCTTCGCAGTTCAGCCAAGTGCACATCTTTTCTTTGTTGCCGTAATGCAGACCTGAGTGTCGGGTCTCCCTCCCGGATGTCATGGCATATTGTTGTGGCAATCTCATCCGAAATGATGCCAGCTCGGGCATATTCTTGATAGAAGCACGAAGACCCTTGATGGTGGCATCCGTGCATGTGGCGCCACCTGCCTTGATGACAGCAGGGACATCTGCATGGGAAAGAAGCTTTTTGCAGGTAAAATCCTTCAAATAACTCTTGCGCATGCTGGGGTCACCTGCGCAAACAATCTGGACTACGCAGCCACGTCGGTGCTCCTCATCAGGCTGCAATCGAAGCCGCGTGCCTGCATGGATGCTCCATCCAAGCAATGTTGCTGAGGATCGGCGCCATGAATGTCTCAGGCTCACAACCTTCCTTGCGGGCAATGGTTCTCAAGCTGACTTCGAAAGGCACGGGCAGCACTTCTCGAGTTCTGAAGGCAAAGTCTGATGCCACAGCGTGGTGGTCCCTGGGGGCTTTCAAGGCTGCATTCAGAACGGTTTGATAAGAAGCCTCTGGGCTTCCAAGCCCTTGATATGTGCTCTTGGTGTGAAGCAACGAAAGGCTTTGTGCTTCATCCCTGCAAGCCAAGTACTCCGACATGGCGTCGTGCATAGGATCCTTCACCGTGGTAGATGCCTTGCTGGTCCGACCCAGGTCGTCGTAGATGTCAATCCCAAAGCTTGGAATGGACAAGCGGGCTGCTTCACTTCCACCCTGTGTGCAGGGAGGGCTTTCTGGGCTTGGGGACCTTTGGGTGGGCGGCACTGGGCTGCGTTGTCCTGCTGGCGGGCTTGCGTTGGTTGCTAACTTCTTGCCCGCTGGGCCCCCACCCGCACGGACAGGCGAAGCTGCCTCTTCTCTGGTCTTTCTTTTTACCCCCTCAGCCACAGCCTCTGCTTCCATTGCTGCCTCAATCTCCATCTCTTGCAAAGCGGCATCATCAGCCTCTTCCTGGGAATCTTCATTCTGAAGACAGAATGGGCAGTCATGCATAGGGCAGCCCTGCTTTAATCGGTATTGCTGCAAGCAATCCGCGTGGCACACGTGCGAGCAAGAGTCTCGGCTCGGGGAGCACAAGTGTTTTTCTGCATCGTCTGCGAAACCATCTCCACAAACTTCACACGTGGCCATGTCTAGGAAGCTAACTCCTACAACTTGAACTTGATGGCGCGGCTTGGGTACCGGAGAGCACTTGTCAATGCGTGGTATCATGGTGATATTTGTCGGATTTGCCTTTGCAGTCCCAAGCGTGATATCGACTCCATGCAACCAAACTGGCTCTCATGCATGCTGCGCTGCGTGGACAGCCGGAACAATGTGAAAATGTTCACATGCCCTCCACATCTCTCAGTTTCAACACTTCTGTAGCGCGCAGCGAATTTTTTTAACCTCGCGACATGATCAAAAACTGCTTGGCCTAGTGTACAAAAGGACTGCTTTCTGGAAGTTTCTTGCGATTGAGAGCACAATATCGTCCGTGCCATTGAGACCCACAGGTCGCAGTGGACGAAGCCAGGGCGGCGCTAATCAGGTACGGATAATTTGCGGTCTGCGGCCTGCAGCGTCTGCAAACAAGATTCTTGCAACGCTTGAACCCGAGCCTCAGCCCAATGAAATCTGGGTTTTGAAAACAACTCCCAAGCCCATAGCGGAATGTCTGGCGGCAAATTTTCAGGCGGACGTTCTTGATCAACTTGACTGTACAGGTGCCAGTATAGACAAGCAAGAGACGAACATTTTGCTCATCCAGCGCCCGCGGCAATGCAAGGTCAACTTCAACACCCGCAATGGGCCCTAATGCACCTGAACGCCAGCGTCTACATACGTTTGGTGGAGCATGCTGCGGGGAGATGACATCCTCCTCGTCACAGGAAACTATAACGAGCCCATCATCTCCGTGTAAATCACGCTTGTAGAGCAAGCGAATCCGCTGCACATCTGCCCGGCCGCTGCCATCTCCAGACCGCCTTGGAGGGTCAAATCCCAGAGCATCCAGCTGCAACCAGGTGTCAGCGCATTCAAAGCATACATTCTCTGTGAAGCCAAAGGCTGCAGCTAAGGTCACACCCTCCTGCCAAGGGAGCCACACACCAAACGGAGCCATGGATCGCACACCACAATAAAAATTGTCCAGCCAAATTCCATACCCAGCATCACCGGGGGCAGGCATCTTGCGGCGTCAGCAGAAAGGGCGCTGCGTTGCCATTAACATAGGGCTAGAGGCTTTAAAAGGGTGACTCTGATGCTGCTCGTGTGTGATTGTGTTGCATTAATAGATTCAATGACTCAATGATATACTGTCCTGACATTGCCCGGCTCCGAGAACACAGGTAGACAGAACTAATTCAGTCGCGGAATCCAAAAGGAACGGCTCTCATCTGCGCGTGGGGCCGCGTGATGGGTAATACCTGAAGCAGCTCGTTCGGCCAGGTGCGCCCGCAAACGCACTGGCACAACGGATCGCACCGAGTGATCAACTGTGCATGAAGTGGCCAAACCTAGCTCTGCATTGCCAGCCTGCCAGCGAGCTGCCAAAGCTGCATTCTCGCGCAAAGCTCTGCCTTGATCTCCTTGTGTTTCCCCCGGTTGCTTCTGGAACGGCAAGCCTAGGCATGCAAGGCTACATAAAAACAATCTGTTGCGGGTCTCTCTTTAAAGGATGGCAACATGTTACAAAAAATAATCGAGGCCAAGCCACTCGCTCCACGGCGATCATTCGCACAGTTGGCAATCTGGAAATGTAAGCCGACATCTTTGAGCTCACTCCATCTGCATGTGCGGGTCTCTGTGTATTTGGCTTTGAGGACGGTTCGTCCTTGAAAAGTTGCCTGCTTCAATGGAACCACATCAGCCAAAGGAATTTTTCTGCTTGTCCGTACACTCAGAATGAACACTGGCTGATCGTCCCGGAAAGCAAAGAGACCTCCTCTGGGCTGCAACTGTGTGACTTTGCCATCAGTGTTGTCAGCAGCTCCAACGTCCTTCCTGCTGCCACCCGTTGGGCAAGACTGCAACGGTCAGGTCCCCTCTGCGGGCTTGTGCTGGCCTGCAAGGCTTCTGATGCTGGTGCTTTAGCCAACTTCGGCTTTTGCAAAGGGCTGCGAAGAAGCAGCCGGCGACGCTTGGATGCTGTGAAGGAAACTTGAGCCGGACTGCCGGTGTTCCCGGCGTCAGAACGGCGCTTCCGCTTCTTGCTTTTCCAAGGCGGCTGTGTGAGCTTCTGGCGCTTGGCAGCGGGTCCCTCATCTTCTGCAGTTGGCCACAAGGAATCCCAGAGGCGGTTGCTTCCTTCAGCTTCCCTTGCATCTCTCCTTCTTTGACATGCCAGACAACTTGCTTCCCCTTTTCCCATCGAACTGGGGATCTGAACTCTATGGCAACAATCTCGGGGACCAACGGCAAGGAGGCACAGACCCATGGGTTTTCAACCTTGCTGGCTTGAATCACCTTCCCTAGGCACACCATCCCAACCACGCAACTTTTGGACAAAGAAGCTTCCTCTGGCGCATCCGGCCATGTCTGGCGCAAGGCGGCCGAACATTCGGGGGGCAAGCTGTTGATTGACTAACGGCCCACGTGAAAATAGTACCAGCCAGCTGCCATCCGCCTCTTCCGAGATTCTATGCGTTTGGAACCTCGCAGCATAGCTAAGGCAACCTGCGGCCCCTGAATGGTGAAGGCTCGCCGAGTCGCTTGCGCTTCGTCGGCCATGGCTTCAAAGGAGAGCTACAAGGTTGTAAATGACAATGATGATCTTGTTCACAGCATGAACAGGTACATCTACATATCAGCTCAATGTCACGATGTCTACGTCAATCGCCCGGCTCGGAGAGCACAGGTTGACAATACTGGCGCAGGTGCCTAAATTTGAGCCCAACGGATGAAGATAGGCGCAAACAAGCAAATGCTACACCACACTGTAGTTAAAAAGCATGAAGTTCTCTGAGCATGCAGGGCAGCTGCAGCGGACAGTGCATCTGAGGGATTGAGAGGATGTCCCGACTATTTCGACCACTAGATTACCATTGCGCCCAGCTTCCCATCGCAAATTTTTACACGATAGCAGGCTGTTCCGCAAGCCTGTTTGTCTATACCATATGTCCAAGTTTGTGAAGATGTCTAATTTTGCCGCAGCTGCAGTAGCAACATTAATGGCCACTGCAACTAGAAAGTGGCAAACGCAGATTGCACTGCGGAGCTGTCCCCGCCTCCGTCCTGCGCTCCCCATGTAACAATGGATCCATTGTAGCGCACTGCTGCAAACGCTTTGGCAGACCCATGTATGAACTTGACATCCGTCAGCATTGGCAAAGAACCCTTTCAAAGAGGGTGTGACTTGCCGGACTTTCTCGTATCACAGAACTATCGCCCCCCAAGGTGGCCTTTCCCCAGGTGACAAGCGACCCTTCCTCCGTGACAGCTGCAAATGCATAAGGGTTGCCCTGAACATTCACAATGCCTTGAAGTCGGTCTTGGACCATCGAGCTGTCTCCTCCATTACTAGGGGTCTCCCCAAGCAACCACGGACCCATCCAACACAATGGCAGCGAATGCAGTATGCGTGCTGTGAATCTGCGTCACTCCCTTCAATTTGGCTTGGACCCCAGGTGACGACAGACCCATCATGACGAAGGGCGGCAAATGCGCCCTGGGCAGCTGCAGTCACGCTTCTCACATCATAGAGCTGCTGCCGTACCATTGCCCTGTCAGCAACCATCTTCGGCAAGCCCCAGGTAACAACAGATCCGTATGATGTCACTGCGGCAAAAGCGCGGCCGCTGGCAACGATCTGCACCACTTTGCGCAGGCGCTTGCACACACCAGAGCTGTCGGAGCCGTAGGCAGGATGCCCCCATCACTACACGTTCATTGTGACACCACAGAGCAAAGGCTTTCCAGGTTGAAGCGAGACAAGGGAAACGCGCGACACATGTAACGCAGTGTGCGCTTGCAGCCGAAGGAATCATATCATCGACCCGCAACACCGCACCTCGCGCGTCCAGGAATCATATCATCGCTGCAAAATCTCTTTGAGTTCCTGAACCTTGGCTGATACTGCTAGCGTGACAGTCTGCTGTTTCCCTACTGGGCAGTACCGCAGTTATGTCTTGCGTTTCCATGGCGGCCAATGCAGCGAATGTATTTGTTTAAGTCAATTTCCCGGCTCGGAGAGCACAGGTGGACAACAGTAGCTCAGGCGATCAACTTGAGCACAACGGGAGCGACAGTTGCAAATAGGCACATTCAACATGGCACTGCAACTTTGATGCAAACAAGGAAACCATGATGCAGCACAGCTGCTGCAAGGACTGCGAACCAGGAAAATCGAGAAAAACAAAATGAGATGAGAAGGTGTTTGACGCAAACAAGGACACCATGGTGCAGTACAGCTGCAGCGCGGTCTGCGAACCTGGAAAACTGGGAAAAAAACGAAAATCAGGTGAGTGGTTTTGAAGTAATGGCAGTATGCAGCATGACACAGACCACAACCAAGCCAGCCGGCTTTTTCTGCGCTTTTCGAACGAAGCTGAATCGTTTCCTGGCCCTTGAGACAGCTGATCTGAAATCATCGGGGAGCAGCTAAAGCCCCCAGCATTAATCAAAAGTATATTCCCAAGCCATGCATGGCCGTGGAAGCAAGTGCTGGCAAAGTTCCGCAGTAGCCCGGCGACTACCAGAAGTTGGCAACTTCACAACAGCTTGATGAAGATGCGCGCTGGTCCGGCGATGGATGCGCGCTATCAGGAATGAGCCAGTTTCACTGACCCGTCTCTGTGAGATTCTCTTGAGCCGAAAAGTGCGCAGCGTCTAAAGCTGACATGACTCAAAACGAAATTTTTTCGGAAACATCTGAAACAAGCAACAAGATTCGAAATCAAGGTTCTAAAGTTCACGTTATCTCTCAATGCCGATCCTGCCCGCAAAGACACAATCACTCCACCAAATTCAACCCCGGCCCCGGGCATGAGCGTGAAGATAAACTGCAAAAAAAACGACTCCAAATAGGGCAGTCGTGGTAACGGTACAAATGATGAATTCCTGCCGCCGGGAGATTAGTTCCTGACATCTCGCTGTTGACTTCAAGATGTCCCAATCACAAACAGAATCTGCAATTTACAGCTCAAGACATTATATACACCAGCACACTTTGCGTCGCTACTTACTGGCTTGGTTCGAACCACTGTACCAAATCTCTATATTTCCATACGGCCCACTGCCTAACCAAGTACGCGTAAATAACATACATCCTTGTGATTGTACTTTTGTATGCTCGAGATACCATCGACAGCCCGGCTCAGAGAGCACAGGTAAGCCAAGGGCCGCTAATCTTGACAGTGGCAAGTGGCACCACCAGATAGAGCCAATGTTTGCAAGTGGGAAACATGCATCTGGAAACACAGACCCGCAAGAATGCCAGATAGGATGTCAGAATGTATGCCACATAGACTCCCATAAAAAATGCCAGGTAGAATGTCAGGCAGTATGTCAGATGAAATCTCAGACAAAATGCCAGATAGAATATCAGATAGAATGCCAGAGAGAATATCAAAATAATCAGATACAATCTCAAAATATATGGCAGATGGAATGCCAGAAAGAATGCCCGATAGAATCTCAATATATATATATAATATATATATGTCAACTAGAATGCCAGTTGACCGGGGCCACTCGAGGAAAGTAATTTTGACTATTGTCGTTTATCAGGTGGGAGCTCCAATTTGCGCAAAATGGGGCCTGTCAGTGTATATCGCGTGCCCCGCTTGCCCCCTTGCCCCGCTTGCCACGCTCGCCCCGCTTGCCCCACTTGCCCCGCTTGCCCCGCTTGCCCCGCTTGCCCCGCTTGCCCCGCTTGCCCCGCTTGCCCCGTTTGCCCCGCTTGCCCAGCTTGCACTTGCTCTGCTTACCTCCGCAGCAAGTGCGTCGAGTGGGGGGAGTGGGGCGAGTCGGGCGAGTGGGGCGAGTCGGGCGAGTAGGGCGAGTGGGGCGAGTAGGGCGAGTGGGGTCGAGTAGGGCGAGTGGGGCGAGTGGCCAAAGTCAATTAATTTTCCTACCAAGGCAAGTGGGGCGAGTGGGGCGAGTGGCGGATTTCAATTAATTTGCTAGCCCAGGGCAAGTAGGGCGAGTGGGGCGAGTGGGGCGAGTGGCGGATTTCAATTAGTGTTCCTCGTGGGCGCCCGCAATGAACTAACAGCTACTTTGGGCAAAGAAGGTTACATGAATTGTCATTGGCTCAATTGTTTGCACTGCAGCTTTTGTGGCTCCACTAGTTCTTATAGCTAGGTCAGCCATCCGACATCAATTCGCACACTAAGGTGATAGTCAAACCTTGATTGTTTTGTTTCCTCTTTTGTTTAACTTCCAACGAATTGGCCCCGCAGCGGGGAACCCCGACCCCGGGTGCCGGGCGTTCGGGGTTCCCCTAGCATTGCCAAACCAGTTGACACATTTTGCACTCTCTGCACAGATAGCATCCAACATCTCCAGCTGGTCACTTGGCACCTGACACCCGGGTACCGGCTGTTCAGGGTCAAGCCTGCGTCAGCATGCTACAACAGCTTATGACACCAAACAGGTTCATTTCCTTGGCGTCGCCTGACCCTGACGACTCAGATACAGACATCGAACCAGCAGAGCCAACCGTCCCAGATGAAACAGTCGAGGATGTGTCAGTGGACAGTGATCAGAATACTTTGACGCCCTCGAGACAGATGATGACACTCCGTACTTCCAACAAGGGGCTGAGCCTCCCCCAAGGGAGCAGTGGGAAATTGCCGCACCTATCGATTTCTTCAATGTACAGGCGGTCTCACAAATAAGCCACCAGCTCGACGAACTTTTCCTCTCGGAAAAAGAAGTCGAAACCCCACTCGGCATGGACGATATCAAACAAAGGTGGAAATGGGCCGATGTCGGCTCTTGTCGAATGCCCCGGTCACCCCTGACATACCCAGCAATCATGGTGGACGAAGGGAACGGCATCCGACGCCCCGCAGCCAGCCAGGTCCATCATAGAACGCTTTTCCAGTGGATCATAGATAACCTCTCATGGTTGCCACAGTATGCCACTGTCTATGTTTATGTGGACAACCGCAAACTGTCAGGCACAGATCCCCCAGCCTACTGGCCGCATTTCGCACCCTGGATCAAAGGCCGATGTACAGTGACTGGCCCCTACCGGGAGAAAACGACTGCTATCCATTTTCCCATTAATGCCGACACAGGTTTGCATCAGGTCCATTATACCTGGGCTGGTGCTGCAGCCCTGGAAGCGCTGTGCCTAATGTTTCCCACTGTAAATTTTGCACTAATCGACTCTGACTGTGTGCCGACCTCATTGTTTGAGATAGCCGAACTAATCAACCTTATGACGGACAAGGCAAGCAGAGCCGAAGCAATGCAACACAACACAATGGCCAGCTCTAACCAGTGCCCTCCTGCAGTACTCCTTGCCACAGAAGCCAAAGCTGAACTCAATGCCGGCTTAATCATTGTGACAGGGCATATCCCGACCGATGCAGCTGATGTTGAAATGGACCAAGCAACCCCGGATGCATTCATGCCCCCGGCTGCTGCCCACAGCTCCTCTCCGAGTGATGCACCCGCCCCAAAAGCACGACGAATAGCTCACCCCGCCAACCGCAGATCAGCAGATGATTGGGTCACCGCACTCCAAGATAGCCGAGCCAGTTTCCTAGCTACGACCGCTG